ATATCTCTAGTCACAATTTTGAGGAGAGGTCAGCTTACCTTTTAGCAATAGAATTTCTATCTACTAAAGACAGATTTGTCCCTAATTACAAGTGTGATATCCAAAACAATGCAGTAGCTCTCATTGGAGGACCCCGTACTAAGACCTGTCTCAACATGGCAACCATGCTGTACAACTACAAGTTTCCACAGCTGAGACAAAGAAGTAGCTCCAAGTAGCAGATGTTAAGTACTTATTCAGATGTTGCTTCAGACAGAACCAGAGATAGTAATGACAAAATTGGTTTTGCGATTTCATTTTCTTCTGTGTTTATGAAATGATTTCCTGATATAAGAAAGGTAATGCTCTTTATTTACCTTAGGATGGAATAGTACACATATTTCTTTCTTAACATCTTCAGAAGTTCCTCTTTTTTCTGTTGTTGTTTTTTTTTTCCCTGTCTCCAATATTGTTTAGGCCCTCCCAATAAAGTTTCCCAGGTCTTTCCTTAGAAGCATGAAAGTTTGAGGTAGATTGAAAATTTTGAAGGTATATTGATTTGAGCTTAATTGTTGAATCCTGCACTGAAAATATATAGAGACACTCCTATTGTCAAAGCCAACAACCAGAACCTTACTTATACCCTACTAATAGCACTCTTGCTCTCCTTTCTATGTCTTTTTATGTTCATTGCCCAACTAGACAAGCAGGTATGTCCCTTTCGACAAATTCCTTTTGGCATCGTCTTCTCCAATGCAGTTACTGGCGTATTGGCTAAAACAATCATTGTGGTTCTTGCTTTCTTGGCTACCAAGCCGGGATCTAGAATGATGAAATGGGTGGGGAAGGAGACTGAGCCTCTCTATTGTTGTTTAACGGTCCTTTGTTCAAATAACTATCTGTACCATATGAGTGTCAGCTTATCCCCCTTTTCCAGATTTTGATGTGTATCCATAAAGGAAGACTTTGTACTAGAATGCAATGAAGTTTCCCCTCCAATGTTCAGTTGTGTCTTGGGATTGATGGGCTTCCTGGCCATTGTCAGCTTCACTGTGGCTTCCCTAAGCAGAAATCTACCAGACACTTTTAATGAAGCCAAGTTCATCACCTTCAGCATGCTGCTGTTTTGCCGTGTTTGGATATCTTTTGCTCCAACTTACCTGAGCACCAAAGGAAAATCAATGACCAAATCATATCAATTAGATTGATGGACAACCCTTTAATACGACAATCATTCCAGTTTATGGTCCAACCACCGAGTTATTGCTGCCCAAAGGGGGCACACCAGTTACTGAAAAGCAAAGTTTCATATACTTTTGCCACACAGAAATAAGTAGCTTTGGATCATTTTCCTCAATAAATAAATGAACAAATATAATGTTTTTGACTCATTT